GCAATCTGCCCCCTCTTCCTCCCCTTTGCTCTGCAAAGTGAATTCCTCCTCTGGCTTCCTGCAGAGCTCTTTGTGAGCCTTCCTCTGGGATTGCTCCTTCCACTCCAGCAGCATATCAAAGTACTTATTCCAAATAAAACCTGTGTTTCCCCTAAAACAAATCCTGGTGAATAGATAGCCTCCACATCATGGGCACTGGTAATGACTTGAATGACTGTACCCCTTCAAGAAAGCAGTCAAATGTATATAGGAAGAAACTGTCCTTTGGTGGAATGCTAAACATTGCTTAAAGCAAAACTTTCCAGGGTTTATAACTCTTCCAGTTTTATAACTATGTAAATTGGAGATAACTGATAACAATGCAAATAAATCTACCAGAAAGAGCGACCACCCTCCTTGATTCCCTAGGGAAAAGTCAGTTTTGTAGCCTTTGCAAATTCCTTTCTGTATTGCTATTGTTTGACTTCTCCTTTGAACTGATTGTACCTTTTTTTTTTTTTTCTGGTTCTCTCATTAAATTAATGTGTTAAATAAAAATTTTGGCAGGTGTTCATTTTATAGCTGCATGAGACTTGATTTTACCTTTGTTTTGAAAATTATCTTTCTAGTGTATCAAATAGGAGTCTGAGGCAGGAAATATTAGCACACTCAAAAGGGAAACTGAAGAGTGTTTGATGAAAGAACTATTTATAGGGATGTAGGTTGAATTAAGCAGCCAGGGCTGGTGAAGCACCCCATTAGCAATAGAGGAAAACTTCTACTACATGCTCATTGGGCATGGGGAGGGAACTGGAGCCACACAGAGGATCACAAACCATGGCCTAGCAGGAAGGGACCAGGAGAATAAATATGACTCTTCTCTCCTTTTGTTCTCTGAACCCCACAAAGCCAGCATGTAATAAAGACAGAGCAATACAACCTAACTTGTTTCCATTCCCAAGCCCACCCCGCCTCTTCTGAGTCAAATCGGCCCAATATGGATCACAAATTCTCAGTGAATTTAGACAGTCTGGCTAGCTAAAAAAAAAAAAAAAAAAAATCTTAAGAAGTCTGAGAGTATGGTTATATTGCTGAAATCTTAGTCCTTGTTCCCAGTGCCAATCCAATTACAAGGACACTGTTTTGAGAAAAAGGAAAAAATTTTATTGCTTTGCTAGCAAAAGAGAAACACAGGGACTCCTGTCCCAAAGACTGTGATTCTGCCCATCAGCAGGAACAGGGGGCTTTTAAAGAGGTGATTCAAAGGCTACATTCCACATGTTCTTTGTTGGAGTTATAATTCACTTGTTGATTTTGAAGATAGTCATTTCTGAGATCTTCTGTACATCCCCAAAGTCTGGATTACTTGATTCCTGTGGTGAGTGTGTACTCAGAGACAAATAACTCTGCCTAGGATGGGGAAGAAAGGTAATCCTGTTTCCCTTGAGATTAGGGAGAGGGAGAGATTAGGGAGGAGCAGGGAGAGAGGAAGAGAAAGAAACATCTCCACTTTAAAAATAAATTGCAGGGGCTGTGGTTGTAGGTCAGTGGTAGAGCTATTGCCTAGCATTGTGAGGCACTGGGTTCATCCTCAGCACCACATAAAAAAATATAAATAAATGAAATAAAGATCTAAAATATACAATAATGTTATTATTAAAAAATAATTTAAAAAATAAATTGCAGTGGCAGAGCAGCAAGGGTTACATTCAAAGCATAAAGTGGATCACTGTTACAGTTGTAAATTTATATTTACATAGGTAAGTAATATATAGCCTCTTAGTTGAGTCCCTTAAGTCTCTCTCCAGCTTCTGGACCTTAAACTTTTCCCTAAAGAAGCAAAAAGTCAATGGTGGTTGCGTGTGGGTGGGGGGCGGGGAGGATTTGACATACTACTTATTTGTGCTCTTATATAATCATTCTCTATCTGGTGGAAGCTCAGAGAATACAACTTTGGAGGAAAGAAAAAATACTATAAAACAGGTGATTATATTCTGGAAGAATCTTAGTAAAATAACTTTTATGGCTTCTGCTGGGCCTTGGTGCTTCCATGCAGGTTAATATTCAGCTGGGTACCTTGAATGCTCAAGTGGAAAGCAGAGGGCTGGGGATGTGGCTCAAGCGGTAGCGCGCTCGCCTGGCATGCGTACGGCTGGGGTTGGATCCTCAGCACCACATACCAACAAAGATGTTGTGTCCCCTGAGAACTAAAAAATAAATATTAAAAATTCTCTCTCTCTCTCTCTCAAAAAAAAAAAAAAAGTGGAAAGCAGATAGGGGTTGAGAAGAACTGGATAATGCTGTACCTGGGAGAGTAAAAAGAATCCAGAGCTCTGGGAGTGATCTAGAAGGAAAGAAAAAAGAAAGAAGAAGGCAATATGAGAGGTTGAAGTAATGGAAATGGTTAAGGGCTATTTTAAGGATGTCTAATATTCAACTTTAAATTGTTTTCTCCCAGAGCTTTGGTAAAGTATGCTTTAAGCCAAACATGTATATAAGTGGTTCTTGTAAAATCCTAATAAGGCAATAATCAAAAATAGTAATAATGATAAAAATAGATGCCATTTGTTAAATATTTGTGCTAACATCGTGATAAGATATCACAGTGACCCAGAAGATAGACATACTTATTTATTTATTTATTTATTTTAGGTAAATAGACTGAGGTCGAGGGGTTAAGAAACTCACACAAGGGCACCTAGCCAGCATAAGCCAGAGTCAAAATTTAAAACCAGAACCCAGGCTCTTTTCATTATATTATTATTGGATATCCAGCTGGGGTCCAATGTCCTGAACTAAGAATTGATCAAGATATCTAGAAGTAGCAGGTAAGGTCCAGATTTATTGATAGTGAAGGTGAAAGTAGCATTTCCTAAGATAGAGTGGAGTGGGCCAAGCAAGAGATAGAGAAAGGCTCAAGGGCCTCATATCTGGAAATTCATGTTTTATATGCTGAGCTGTGAGGCATTCTCTTCCCTATGTGGCTCTGATTGAAGAACTTATCCCACTTGCTCCCACTGGTTATTTTAGAATATCACACCTATGGTAGGAGTTATCATGGGTGATGAGTCCCCAGTGGCGAAAATTGTCATGGTAATGGGACACTATAAACAGGGACATGATGACTCATCTCCCTGTCTTGTCCTCTAGCGGCCTTTTTCTTATACCCTGCCTCCATCATCTTGGTGACCCTGAATTCCTACCTAACAATTACATCACCCTGCTTCCCCATAATCCTCCCTGTATCATCTTATAAAGCTCTTGTCCAGACTCTTGGCTAATGGGCATTGACAAGGTCACTTTCTTTCTCTTAAGACTGCCCATTTCACTGTCAAATAGCTGTGACCATTGCCAGTTTTTCCATGTTGAGTCAGATCTGTCTCTCTACAGTATCCACCCACTGGTCTTCCATCTGCTGTCTGGCCCACCCAGAACAAACCTAACCTAATCCTTTTTCATGGAGCAGGATCTTTGACATTTGAAGATATGGTGTTGAAGGGTGCCAGAATATACTTCCCTCAAATATGCCTCTTTTGGCATATGCATTTTGAGTAAAGGCCACTGAAAAGCCAGCAGACACAGGGAAAGCTATAAAATCAGGGCACAAGTTGTTCTTCAGTAAAGGAAATTTCCATTTATAAAGGAGACTTAAAGTCCTCTTCCTACATCTTGACACTCTCTAAAAATTTGCTCTTCTTTGTTGAAGAGGCTCTATAAGCTGGAATTCAAGGTCACTTTGGGAGAATTTTTCTCTGGATATCTCCCATGTATACATGAAATATACATGTTAATAAACAACTGTCTTTCTCTTATTCATCTGTCTTTTGTTTCAGGCATCCATTCTAAGGGCTCATGAGGCTTGAAGAAAAACTTATATTTCCTCCACTATAAGCCCAATCACTACATTTGTTTCCAGGTAGTCAATGTTCCCCTTTGTGCTGAACATAATCTCTCATCTCATTTCTCCTATTTTTACACAGTCCAAGATCTGACCACCATGGAGAAATGAAATGTTATTCTGTACTAGTAACTGGTGGGGATAGACATATAAATTCTATTTAATTGATAAACTTCATGCCAATGGTAAAGTCATTTTGCTGCACCTGAGACATACCTAGCTGGGGTGGTCATAGGGTGCAGCAGCAGTGGAGAGAGGACAGAAGTGCTTCTTGTAATTGCATCCTTTGCAGCTCTATAAACTAATATTATAAATTGTTTAGTCCGACGTTTACTATTTAGAAACCTGGAAAGGGTGGAGCAGCCGTGCTTTGACACTAAAAAGATAGTCAAGAGGACGCTTTAAATACACTGCTGACCGTGCAGAAAACGCGTGCAGAGAGCTTTACTCTTCTAATCGGGCTGCCAGTACTTTTTTCCTGGGACGTCAGTCGCTGTAATGTTATTTAGGGACACCCCCTTACACACACACACACACACACACACACACACACGCACGCACGCACGCACACGCACGCGAGAGTAGGTACCACTGTTTGGCAAGGGTGCTTCCCCCTGTCACCTGTAAAATGTGGGGCTTGGTTGGGATGTAGCTCGGTGGTAGTAAAGTGCATGCCTAACATGAGCGAGGCTGAGTTCAATCCCAGGCACTACAAAAATAAATAAACAAATAAATAAAATGGTAAATGTGGGACTTTGTAGAGGAGTATTTGTGGAAAGGGCTCCCAGCCCCACCCTGCAGAGCCTAGAGCCTTTTGACATAGAACTGGAAGAGGAAGCCGGAAGGTGAAAGTTGTTACGAAAGGGCGTGGGAAGGAGGCGCGCCACACAGAGCGCCGGGAAAGACGACCCAGGGTGCCAACGGCCACTCTGTGGCTGCCCAGGAGCTCGTGAGGTGACGCCCGCCCTACCCCGCCAGCCCTAGTCTGCTCTGGGGTTCCGGCGCCGGCCACTCGCAGCCCCCTTAGCACCGCCTCCCTCCCATATGGCCCCGCCCATTTAGGGGCGGGGCTCCCGCGAGGGGGCGGTGGCCCCAGCGGTGACAGCCGCTCCCCGCCCCCGCGGCCCGCCACGTCCCTCACGTAGCGCCTGGCCGCGGCGCGGAGCTGCGAGCTAGCGCCGGGGGCTCCGGCTCCTCCGGCTGGGCTCGGCATGAGGCTGGCGCGGCTGGTGCGCGTAGCCGCCTCGGCCGGCCCGGGCCCGGGGCTACGCGCCTACGGCCCCAGCGCCAGCCGCAGCCTCGCCTCGGATTCGGGCTCCGGCCCGGCGTCGGAACGCGGCGTTCCGGGCCAAGTGGACTTCTACGCGCGCTTCTCGCCGTCGCCGCTTTCCATGAAGCAGTTCCTGGACTTCGGTGAGCGCGGCCCGGACCTCGGGCCTTTGTGCGGCTCCGGGCGCGGAGCTGGGACCGGGGGGCGGCTACCTCTGCTCTCCCTTCTCCTCAGTCGCCCCCCCCTCCTCCCACATGTTCTTCCTTCCTCTCTTGAGGGTGCTGGTGCTAGCAGGCGGGGTAAATACCTGGGGGCGTGTAGCTTTTTTACTCTGTGCTGTTGAAAACAAATCAGAAGGGTGGTAGGCAGAATGACGTCCCTTCTTTCTGTGCACGTGTGCAGGTGCGCTCTCGGGACCAGGCCCCTGTGGGGGAGCCAGGTTCCGGCGAGAGTCCAGAGTGCAGGCACCTCCGGGAATAGCGTTCGAAATATGTAGAGTGATGATAAGTACAATCCTAGGATGATTGCATAGAATTGGCATGAATATAGGGAAAGCAAGTTATAACTGGCCCAGTATTTCTTTAGAATGTTTTCCTTGCCAGTGGCTTAAGACTGTTTCCACCAACAGCACATTCATTGCATAAGTAGCCAATGAATCTTGAGCATGTGTAAAGTACAGGAGTGCAGGGGACTGTGGAGTTTACCACTTTTCATCCAGGTTGTCTGGAATGTGTGCAACAGATTGCAGAAGGAATGGAAATTAGGCATTTGACTTTGACTTCTCATCTGGGGGCCATAAGGGGAAAAGGGAAAACTCAACATAGACTCTTTTGAAAAGTCCAAAAGTTTTGAGTAGAAAAAGTTATCTTCATTGTTGTAAGTGCTGTGAGGTCACTAATATAGCTAGTGGGCTTGAAAGATAAGAGTAAGGCTGCCAGCTTATCTTAAGACAGTGGTTTATGGTGGCAGGTAGTGGTGGTTTCTTTGTTTTGTTTCTTTGAGGGGTTTTTGTTTGTTTTGGCTCAAAACACACCATCACTCTCACTTTTACTTTAAAATGACTATAGGGTGGTGAATAGGGTAATTTGACCTTGTTCGCAAGTAAACTATTACATTTTCACAGGTTGTTTTCCTGTAATACCATAGTTTCTGCTGTTGATAAAGTAAAGGTGCCTTTGCTAAAGCAGCAAGATTCAATTAATTAAAAATGTATTGCTGAAATAATATGACCTTTTGGCTTAACTTTAAGTGAAGCAACTTGCCAAAGGACTTTTTTTTTTTTTTTTTAATCCAGCTTAGCATTCTGATATAGGAATGGAGATAGAGGAGGTGCAGGTGGCTTCCCATGAATTACACAATTGGCGAGGTCTTGCTTGAAAATGGTTGCTGAACAGGCATTGGTGGTTTTGATTTCTGTGATTCTTCCACTCTGGCCTGACCAGGTAACTCCCCTGCATTTCTCCCTACTTCTTGACTTCTAGTGCCTTAGGTTTTTACTTAACTGTTTTTCCTTCTGTGTTTATTTTCAGGATCAGTAAATGCTTGTGAAAAGACCTCATTTATGTTTCTGCGGCAAGAGTTACCTGTGAGACTGGCAAATATAATGAAAGAAATAAGTCTTCTTCCAGATAATCTTCTCAGGACGCCATCCGTTCAATTGGTTCAAAGCTGGTAACCTTCCCATTTTGTGTTTGTAATTTTGATGGAATCGTGGACTTTACTCAAGGTTAAACCAAATGCTTTTTTACTTTTCAGTGGAATCTTATGGTGGTAGCAGTAGTTCTCTTTTGCTTTTTGGGGGTAGGGTGGGGTAGAGAGTTATAGATCTAGGGTTGTCATCTCAATTCTGGGCTTTTTCATGCCTTGGTTTTGAGAAAACCAGTCAGATGTGCACAGAAATACAGATACCAAATTAAGATTTATGTTATTAAATATGTAGGGATGTTATGATCTAATATAAGACAAATATCTACCACTTGTTGATGGCTGGATACTTATGTATATTATCTTCATTTTCTTCAGTGATCCTGCTTAGTAGTTATTAACTCCATTTTACACGGTTGAGGATGAGTCACGTATAGGTGAAGTCTTTTGCCTAAGGGGATACCACAGATAGTGGAGCTGGCATTCAAACCCCGATTCACTGGGCTCTACTATACCCTGCTGCCATCAGAATGATGAAGGCTATTAAAAGGTGCATATGGTTGATAAAGTAAAGGTGCCTTTGCTAAAGGGATGTATGCATGTAAACTGCGTGTATCTTTATAAATCACAGAAGTTAAAATTTATTCGGTTTTTTATTAACATGTATTTATTATATACTTTAGTGAGGTTCAGTGTGATGTTTCAGTATGTACATACAACATGAACTGATCGTATTCTTCCATTTTAAAAGTGAAGTTATTGAAATTATATAGAAACTGTGATTTCTCTTTCCATAAATGATAGTGAAGGTCTTAAGGGTACACATTTCTATGTGGCCACCTATCAGTAGCCCTTGTTGTTAATGTTACTAATTTTAAAAATTTATGCTCTTAAGGACTGTATTAAAAAAAAAAAAGAAAAAGTACACATACACTGGCCAGAGTTAAGTCTTAAATAGAAAAGTTTAATTGTAAGACATTTCCCAATTGATTCATGGAAATCCTAATTTTCCTTTTGTAGGAGTTATAGCTTGAGTGAAATCCTGATCTAACATCAATTTTAAAAGTGAGGAAAAAAAGTAGGACTATTGCATATATAATCATCAGTTGTTATCTGGTCCAAGTATGGAACAGTTATAAATGTGTGTTTTATATATATATATATATTTTGGTACTAGAGATTGAACCCAGGGCCACTTTACCACTGAACTACATCCCTAGGCCTAGGCCTTTAATTTTTTTATTTTGAGATAGGGTCTTGCTAAGTTGCTGAGGCTGGCCTTGAACTTGCAATCCTCCTGCCTCAGCCTTCTGAGTCTCTGGGATTATAGGCCTGAGCCATCATGGTTGGAATAAATGTGGTTTAAATAAGAGGCAATGTTTTATTTTTATTTTATTTTATTATTTTTTTTAAAGTTAGTAGATATTCTTTTTTTGTTGTTTTGTTTTTTAAAGACAGAGTGAGAGGGAGAGTGAGAGTAAGAGGGAGAGGGAGAGAGAGAGAGAGAGAGAATTTTAATATTTATTTTTTAGTTTTTGGCGGACACAATATCTTTGTTTGTATGTGGTGCTGAGGATTGAACCGGGCCGCACGCATGCCAGTCGAGCGTGCTACCGCTTGAGCCACATCCCCAGCCCAAGATGGAACTGAAGGAGAAAATATAATTTTCTGAAGGAAGTTTTTCTTGTTTCTTAAAATTCTTTTGTAGAAGTTGCATGTTCTACCTTTATGGAGGTTCCTTAAAGACTAGGTATAGAACCATTATATGACCTATCTATACCACTACTTAGTATTTAAAAAAAATTTTTTTTAATTGTAGATGGACAAAATATTTTTATTTGTTTATTTTTATGTGGTACTGAAGATTAAACCCAGTGACTCACATGTGCTAGGCAAGTGCTCTATAACTGAACTACAAACTGAGTTCCACTTCTTAGTGTTTATCCTGAAGAATTAAAAGTCATCTTACTACAGTGATACATGCATACCATGTTCAGAGCAACATAATTCACCGTAGCCAAACTATGGAAGCAGGCTAGGTGTCCATCAGTGGATGAATGGATAAAGAAAATATGGGATATATATACAATGGAATTTTATTCAGTCATAAAGAAAAATGAATCATGGCATTTGCAGGATTTTGGATGGAACTAGGGACCATCATGTTAAGCAAAGTAAGTCAGTCTCAGAGGTCAAGGGTATATGTTTCTCTTGTGTGGAACTTAGAGAGGAAAAAAAAGGGAAAAAAAGATGTGGTGGATCTCTTAAAAATCAAAGGGAGATCAGTAGAGGAAAGGGACCAAGAGGTGGGAGGAGGGAAGTTCTGGGGAATGAGAAAAAGAAAGAGTAGCATAGGCTGCTTTTTGAAATCTGGTCTTAGAAGAGGTAGGTGTTCAAATATCTCTTAAAGAACATACTTTTTCTTACCAATGATGAGAAAATTAAGGGTTAAAACAGAATAGCAGCTTCAGAATGGTGTTCTGCATTTTGGAAAGCAAGTAAAGCCTACTGCTTTTCAGGATCAGTTTTCTAGACCAACATATGGATTTACAGATTTGAAAAATACTTTCATTGTCCTTGTTACCTGCTAAGTTAGAGAAGTTGTAGATAAACTGCTGAAGTAGAACTTAACACTGTTGAAGCAGGTGATTAAGTGATTGTGAGGTAATTTTAGCACTGGCCCTGTAGTGCCATTGTACTGTGGCTGCATGACCTTCAGGAAGTCATTTGACCGTTCTCATTTTGGTCATTCATAAATAGGTATTTTGCTGTCTTGAATTGTGAGGTAAATTGAAAACCTTTATTTTCATGATTTCATATTTGTGTTTAGTTCTCTCTAAGCCACATGGTAAAAGAAACATGGTAGATTATAGGCTCTCAGCAAATATTTGTTGACTGGGTATATGCATCCAAACTTAAGCTTTTAAAATACAAACATTTAAGTTAGATTGTTAGAGCAAGGTAAGCTAATCTCCTCCTTTTACTGAGACTAAACAGGCCATTTGCCCAAGATCACATGGTCAGTTAGCATGTCAGATTTAGTTTTCAGGACAGTCAGTATTTATACTGTAATTCATGGTGGGGTTTGAAAGATTTAAAAACTATTTTAGTATATAGACCTTGAAATAGGAAATCTTAAAATGAAATTCGACCTTTTATTTTACCTTTTATTTTGGCTTTCTAGGGGTTGAACCTAGGGGCTTTCTGCCACTGAACTATATCACTATCCCTTTTTATTTTTTATTCATAATTTTTATTATAAAATTTTATAATTTTTATTTTAAAATTAAAATTTAAATTTTAAAGTAGGTTTTTTAAGCTGATTTTCACAATATTGAACTTTCAGAATGTAGAAAACTTTAATCCCTGCCAGGTGTGGTGGCACATGCCTATAATCCCAGTGGCTCAGGAGGCAGAGGCAGGAGGATTGAGAGTTCAAAACTAGCCTCAGAAATTTAGCAAGGTCTTCAGCAACTTAGTGAGACCCTGTCTTTAAATAAAATATTTTTTAAAAGGGTTTGGGATGTGGCTCAGGTGTTTACTGTCCCTGAGTTCAATTCCCATTACCAAAAGAAGAAAAAAAGAAAAGAAAACTCTAACCCAGATTTGCATTTCAGGTATATTCAGAGTCTTCAGGAGCTTCTTGAGTTTAAGGATAAAAGTGCTGAAGATGCTAAAGCTATTTATGAGTAAGTATATGAGTTTGACTCTATTTCAAGCACAATTTTTATATCCTTTAAACATTATATAAAAACATAAATGGGGGCTGTAGCTGTAGCTCAGTGGTAAAGTGCTTGCCTGGCATATGTGAGGCACTGGATTTGATCCTTAGCACCACATAAAAGTAAATAAGGATACTATGTGTCCATCTACAACTAAAAAAATATTTTAAAAAAACATAAATGTATTACATTTAAACCTGCTATTGGACCACTGTAGGGAAATTGATGAACTTTTAGCTTCCTTCTACTTTAGAACGTATGATATATCTATGTATTTATAGTATAGCAGCCCGTATCGGTAAGACAGGTAATGTCTATCAATGAGCTGGGCTGGAAAGAAGAATTTCTGCGTGTTCTTCACAGTAGGAAAAGACAAAAAGGCTCAAGGGTGATGATCAGTAGAAATCTGGATATGGCCTCAGTGCCACTGGAACTGTAAACTTGGAGAGTGTGTGGCCTTCCAGTGGATAGTCACCCTCAGTCATCCACTGACCATCACCATTTGGAAATGCTGCTCAAATCATATGAATTTTTCTGTTTTTAAAGAAAAGCTACAAGTCTAGTTTTTAAACGTAAAACCTTCCAATTGTGAAAGACTGGCATCTAATTTCAATTCTTTTGTTATACTAAAAGACTATAAAAACATGATTGTACATCTCTATGGTAATGTAAGTGATGTGACTATTTTCCTAACCAGCATACAAATCAATAAATCAGAGTAGTCACCTCAGCAGGTTTCTTCTTATTCCAGTGAATGTTGCTCAAAATGTAAAGACTATCTGTCCTCAGAATCTGCTATAAGATTTTGAACAGTCTTTAAACTGGATAGCAACTCTTAATTTTTTAAACATGATTTTGGTATGAAAATAAAATAAAAAAATCACTATGTGCCTAGTTACATGAGTGATGTCATTCAGTGTTTAAGACAACTCCGCTGAGATAATATGTTTGTGCACAAAGAGGGTAGGTGACTTGAGGTCATATAGCTAGCAAATGGTAGGACCCAGATTTGAACCTAGGGAATCTTACTTAAAAGTAAACATTAGAATCTTCTATAGAAGCTGTAGAATCTGCTGAAAGCAATCACTCAGAGCTGAATAGAAAATAAGGTGAGCAGTTATACAGAATAATATTGTTTTTTTTTTTTAAATGGACACAATACCTTTATTTTATTTATTTATTTTTATGTGATGCTGAGGATCAAACCTAGTGTCTCATATGTGTGAGGCAAGTGCTCTACCACTGAGCCACAATTTCAGCCCAATACTGTTTTGTTTTTGTTTTTGTTTTGTGATGTGAGGTGTCAAACCCTGGGCCTCATGCATGCTAGGCATGTGTTCTACAGCTGACCCACAAACCCATCCCATATTGTTTTTTTAAGAGAACTGTGAAGTAAATGAATAAAGAGGGCATTGGAATTATGAATTGTTTGTTGTTTTTGAGGAACCTCGTTGTTTGTATTTTGTTTGTAGTTTGATTTTAAAGCTGATTACAAATAAGGAATTCCAGAAGTGTTTTGAGCAGTAAGAACATCATTGGAATAAGTTAATAGTACTCAAGGCAATGACTCTGAATGGGAAAGCACTCATTTGGAAGTGTAAATTCTGATGGGTATGTTAGGAGATTGATTTTGTTATTTCATAATAAAGACTGCTTTCCTCTTTTATTTGGTTCCTGAAATTAATCATGCAGTGTCTCCTAAGTGATAGAAATGGAAAGGCCGTATGAGTTGATTTTTCCTTTAGTACAGTGATCTACTTTTCCTCTTCTATTTTATGGACTCATAGGATGAATGAAATTAGAGGGTTTGTTTTGTTTTGTTTACTATTCTATTTTAAGTGGTTCTTTCTCCCTTAGAACTCTAGGGAATAGTTCCAATCCCGACAGCCTTCATTGGTTCATTCATCTTGATTTTGTGCAGAGCATGTACTCCCTAGAAGCAAGTGCTCTGCCTCCCCTTATGCAGAATGTCCTTGGAATACCATCCTTATAGAGTGCTTAGATGATTTTAGTTGATAATAACTAAAAAAAAACTGTTAATAATTATAATTGTGTTGTGTGGCAGCCTTACTCTTAGGAGTCTAAGAATTAAATTTTTACAATTTCATTTCAGAGGTCCTCATACCTTTATGGATTCAGGATATTTTATGATCTGAAATTTGTTTAAGTAGGTGTAGGAAAACAGGCATTGAAGCTCTTTTGACTGGACCAGGGATTTCTTGTCTATTATAGTTGGTTAAGCTTTGATGTTATGTTTGTTTTTTTGATACCAGGGGCACTTAACCATTGAACCACATCCCCAGCTCCTTTGGTATTTTGAGACAGGGTCTCACTAAGTTACTTAGGGCCTTGCTAAATTTCTGAAGCTGGCTTTGAACTTGCAATCCTCCTGCCTCAGCCTCCTGAGTTGCTGGGATTACAGATGTGCCCCACCACACCTGACAAGCTTTTTTTTTTTCCTTCCTTTCTTTTATTTTTTTAAATTAATTTTGTTTGTTTTGCTTTTACACAAATAGAGCACAACTTTTCATTTCTCTGGTTGTACATGCACATCTGGCAAGCTTATTTTTTAGTATTAACTCACTTGTCAATATATTTGGCTGTTTTAACAGACTGGGGTTTTTAGCTTCACAGATACTGTTATACGGATCAGAAACCGACACAACGACGTTATTCCCACAATGGCCCAGGGTGTGATTGAATACAAGGAGAGCTTCGGGGTGGATCCTGTCACCAGCCAGAATGTGCAGTACTTTTTGGATCGATTCTACATGAGTCGAATTTCAATCAGAATGTTACTAAATCAGCACTGTAAGTGTCCTGAAGTTGAGAGAAGCTGCTGAATAAAGTGTGTTTGAGTATTTTAAATTCATTTAGAAAACTGCCCTTTAGTGAGAGCATTTAGTTGTACTTTTTTGCTTATTAAGAAAAGTAAGTAGACTAAAAAGGAGTATTTTTATTGAATGTAAAATGCCAGTTTTATGCTTAAAGAAAATAGCTATTCTATTTAGTACCATTTGAAGAAATAGTTACCAAACCTGGAAAAGGGCATTAGATAGATTTGCTTACTTGTTTTTTTATTTTTTGATAGCTTTATTGTTTGGTGGAAAAGGAAGTCCATCTCATCGAAAACACATTGGTAGTATAAATCCAAACTGCAATGTAGTGGAAGTTATTAAAGGTAAATACATTTCTTCTTTTCAAAGGTTATAAAAGTCAAAATAGTTGAATGTTTTTCTTGCTACTAAAACACCTATTACTTTATCATGAGACAAAATGTTAGGAGCAAATGTGTGAGTTTGAAAATTACTTTATAACATTAATTGTGTGTTATGTATAGGATGAATGTTTTGTTGATAGAAGTCTTTGTTAAGCAAAGTTTGGTGATATTGTTGAAGGTATCTATCTGTTTCACATTAAAAAACTCAAATCTCTACTCTCTTTTTAATTCTTTATTCTAGAAGCAATAATTCATAACATTTTAGGTTACATCTTTTTATATTCTTTCTCTTTGTACCATGTGTACATACATGTATGAAATTGTTGATCATGCCTATTTTTATTGTTTGTGGAATATAGGATATACCTTATATTTTTCCACAAGCTTACAGATAGATACCTTACAATTTGATACATATGGATACACCCTAAATTTTTGTGTTTTTTGTTTTTTTGCAGGGGATGGTACTAGGGATTGAACTCAGGGCACTCAACCACCAAGCCATATCCCCAGCTCTATTTTGTATTTTATTTGGAGACAGGGTCTCACTGAATTGCTTAGCGCCGCCTTGTTGCTGAGGCTGCCTTTGAGTTTACAATCCTCCTATCTCAGCCTCCCTAGCCACTGGGATTACACGCCTGCACCAGTGTGCCTGGCCACCCTATGTTCTTGAATGGTTCTGTAGACTTTATCAGTATGTATTAATCTATTCTTCTGTTAATACACACTTGGGTGGTTTTGTTTTCTTTTTTTGTTACCAACAATATTTCAGTGAACATCCTTATGCTGACATTTGCTAGTATTTTATAAGCCAGGATTCCTATAATTATAATACTTAAATGCATTTAAATTTTTGATACATCCAAAAGGAAAAAAAGGTATCAAACAATGAATAAGAATACCTATTTCTTAAATCCTCACAAAGTCTTAGTTTTTGATATGTGTATTATAAATATTTTCTTAACCTGCTGTTTTTTTTTCTTTTGATGTGTTTATGGTATCTTCTCCCATACTAATGTTTTAAATTTTTTAAAAATATTTTTTAGTTGTAGATGGACACAATACCTTTATTTAATTTATTTATTTTTATGTGGTGCTGAGGATTGAACCCAGTGCCTCACATGTGGTAGGCAAGTGCTCTACCACTGAGCTACAACCCCAGCCCTGATGTTTTCAATTATTGTAGTCAATCTGTCATTCTTCTTCATGGATTTTAGATTTTGTCATGTTACGCTTTTCCTCCTAAGAATATTGAAGTTTATTTTCTTCTATAGAGAGTTTTAAATTTTCATTTGTTAGTATTGTTGCCATCTTAATGCGTGAAACTTATGGAGGTTTATTTAATATTTTTTTGTTTTGATTTACACTAGATGGCTATGAAAATGCTAGGCGTCTCTGTGATTTGTATTATATTAACTCTCCTGAACTAGAACTTGAAGAACTAAATGGTAAGCATGATGTTGTCTTTTCAGTGATTAGTGTCATGACTACTGAGAAGGAATTGTAGGAAGAATTTATATTTGTTTTGATTTAAAAAAATTTTTTTTATTAAATTTTTCATTGGATATAAAAGCTGAAGAGCAATCCTATAAAATATATACAAGTGTGTACACACACATATAATTTAGTTGGATTCTTTGTGAAAAATGTTTTGGCTTTTTCTGTTCAGTTTTCCTTATTTTTAATTGATAGTGTTGATTCATTGCTTATATTTTATTTTCTGGATAGTCAGGAAAAAAAATGATGCCAGGAAAATTACGTTTGACTTTTATGTATGCTTTCAGTAATGTAAAGGTTACCCCCCCCTTTTTTTTTACTTCCTGACTTGTATATCTTTTTTTTTTTAATTGAGGAAATGAAAAGACTAGGCATATAAGAGAAGAACAAAAAATGCTTATCTATTTGAGATCACTTTCTCTCTGATGGTTGTCTTTTACTCTTTTGGACAAAAAGGGTTTAGATGTCTTAGAAGATTAATGAGTATCACTGTTTTTCCTGAAAGTATGGTAGTTTGACTGACAATTTTAAGAAGATGGTGGGAAAAATAAAATTAAATAGACTTTTACTAAGCCATATTCTGGACCCTACAATGGGAGCATGGTGGGAGAAATTGCCCAGTTGAAAATAGAGTTGTTTGGTGGTTTTCTAAAGCCATGTTGACTCTTCTGATTCACAATGTGCCATTTACTAATTAAGAATCTCAATGCACAAATGATAGTTTGGGAACATGAACTGCTGTGGGCAGTTTCCAGATATCCCATTCATGTTCCCAAGGGGGAGTTTATTCAGAGGACAGTCAGATTTATTAGTTGAGTTTAAAATTGATTTATTGGTCGAATTATTCTAAAGCATGGTGTGTCTCATTTCTTCACTCTTCTAAAGGTCTGTTCTAGGTACACTTGTTCCCCTTCCCCACCCCCAGCTTGCTCCTATTAAATGTTCAAATGCAGAATTATTACCCTTTGAGAAATTGGTGCTAACTTTTTATGATTATGATTATTATTTTATTATTATTAAGCTGGATTTCCATACAAATAAATGCCTGAGATAAAATAGATAGCATTCCACCCAAATGCAACTTTTAGAAAATGGTTTTAAAATATATATTTATATGAAGGAGACTATGGAATCTGTAGACTTTTAATACTCTTTGGAAAGAAAAATTCCTGCTTAAGGTTGAGGTCTTTTAAAAAGACTTACCGTTATAGAGAAGGATGGGAGGATGGGTTGGTTAAATAATTATGCCAGATTGTGAAAAATGACCACAGGACTCTTGTCTTTGTCAGTTTTCACTATTAGTGAGTGTGGGGTTCAAACACTAATATAGTGAAGAAGTATTTAGAAGTATTGTGGCAGTTCTCCCCCAAATAACACTGTCCTCCATAGCGAATGTTTTCTTTCCATCACTACACAATTTATTCTTAAAAATGCTTTAAGCACATCTCTCTGTACTTTCATATTTTTCTCTTCTGCTCTATAGCAAAATCACCAGGACAACCAATACAAGTGGTTTATGTACCATCCCATCTCTATCACATGGTGTTTGAACTTTTCAAGGTTTGTAAAATAGTATTACATAACCTTTATCAGTCCTTTCCTGAGGATAGGAATTTGCTCTGCAAGTCAAATATTCCTCTGGGTTCTATTTCATTAAAAGATGCCATTTCATGCCACATTGCTGGAGAACAGACATTTGTAAGTAAGATCAGGCACCTTTAAGTAGTAGTGAGCTCAGACTTCAGAGTTAGAAAGACCTGAGTTTGAATTCCAGTTCTGTCACTTAGTATGTGTGACATTGGGCAAGTCACTCAACTCCTTAGTTTCTTCTCCTGTAAAACAAGGATAATACTATCAATATTATTTATGAAGATTGGACATGTGAAAGTGTCCAATGCAATGACAGCCCATTATAGGTGCTTAACAAAGTTATATTCATGTTTTTGTAAACCAAAATATTTAGAAGAATGATCTTTTTTCTACCCTTGAGCCCCATTGGTATGCTTGCCTTTTAAGTCATATTGACTCACAAGGCTTCTATATTATGTTTGCTCCTTATAACAAAATTTGAAAACTAAATAAAATTATACTGGTAATGTTGAGGGTGTTTCTTTTTCTCCTCCAATGACACTTATTGATTGATATGAAAGTGGGTGATGAGTGGCACTGGTTTCTGTGGCTGAAGACAGCTGCCCTAAGTCAGAAGCCTGTATTTGCCTTACTTTAGTTACCGTGTCTTCAGCCATCAGCAACCAGAATAGAGAAGAGGTGGCTTTATGTCTGATTATGTAAAAGAAAAATATACTGAAACACAGAAATTGACCGAATATCTCAGAAAAGCAAGTGTTCAAGAATGCTTTTCTGTTCTGAGACTGTAAGAACGCATTTAATACCTTTCAGAATGTAACGAAGTGGTTAAGTGTGATTGGCACTTAAAGTGTTAAAATGTTCTTTTCCTTGAAATTTCAGTCACATGAAGACCAATGATGCTTAATATGAGAAGCATTCCATATTCTGTATTTTATATCATACCAGCGATGACAGTAGCTTTCTGTTGGAACCTCCTCTTGAGCTGCCTTGGATAGGGATAACGTAGTCTCTTTCTCAGGCTACTCAGTCCTGAATGGTGTGCCAGTGCCAACATGTTCTTCCAAATTGAGTCCTGACTTTAGCTTTTTTTAGTTGTATCTTCCCCAACCCCTAGTACTGGGCTTTGGACTCAAGGCCTCACAGGTGCTAGGCAAGTGCTCTATCCCTGAGCTACACCCGTAGCAGTTGTAGCTAGTCTTTATCAGTTTCTACTCCAGTGCTACGTGTCATGTTACTTGTGTTTAATGCTCATAGTGTATTGGCGTTGAGTACCTCATGTCCTTTAGAAATTGGTCAAACAGTTTTACAATATAAATATCTTTAGTTTCAAACTTGCAATAAAGGAAGCTTTTATAAGACTATTGGCGTTTCTACTATATGAAAACATTTTATTTTCTTTTAAAGAAATTTATAAGAATTAAACTAGTTCTTAAAAGTAAAGCTGAAACTGAGTTTTCAAAACTAAGTTTTGCTTAGTATTTACTAAAATTCTGAAAGTGTTTGGATGAAATCTTACTTTAATGTTAACTAGTTTAAAGTATTTAGAAATCAACTTTTGGAAAATGTGTAGAATTTACTTGGAATCTTTAAATGAAAGTAGTCCTCAACTTTCTCCCAAAATTGACTCAAAAAATTTTTAAAGTTATCTTTATGGTTATAAGAATTATAATTCTTTGAATTAAATTCAAATAGTGCACATGTACTTGAAAATTATAGTTTCTCTTTTTAAAAAAAGTTTTATTCTTAACATAACCTTGATGTATTTCAGAATGCAATGAGAGCAACTATGGAACACCATGCTGACAAAGGTGTTTACCCCCCTGTTCAAGTTCATGTTACATTGGGTAATGAGGATTTGACTGTAAAGGTAACTTTTTCAAATTGATGTACAGGAATGAAAGGATAATCATATACATAGCTTCTAGCAGACCTAATTTACTCTCAGGGGAAAGAAATCTAGTCTGTAACACATAATTAGTAGAGTGCTTCATTTATGTGGCAGATTATAGAATTATTTCAAGTTTGTTTCTGGTGTGGTCCCTAATCCAAGTAGTTCAAATTGAAGTAAATCCTAGAGACAGACAGTAGTAATTATGAGTATCTATTTTGATAACTAAAATCAAAAACATTTGGTTATTTATATTTTGATGGAAAGAGTAAATATTTTTTCATTTTTAAACAATACTTTTGAGTCTCCTTTTGCTTTGTTTTATCTGGTTCTTGTAACAGCTCCTTATTTAGGACACATGTAATTTTACCTTCAGTTTTAAAGATGAGGAAGGTAAAAGTGATTAGCTTAGGATCACACAGGAAACCAATGCCATGGGATATGAAATTCAGTCCTCTGATCTCAGTGTCAGGCCTTTCCACTACAGTGTTCCGATAACCCAGTTTCTTAAGAGCATGATAGTGTTTCTGTTTTTAAAATAATTACGTAAAATGTGGAGAATATAAAAATCTGACAGGTTAGTTCCTGGCCATTTGTTGGCCTCATAATTCAGATAGTCTTTGAGTTATTTCTTCTGGTAGTTATTGCTGTATTTCTGAGGAGTATTCTGATAATACTATTTCTGAAATTTTCCACATCTTAAAATGCAAATATTAGCTTTCTGTTATAGTAGCCTAGGAGTTAGAACATCAAGACATTAATGGAATACTTGTACCCTCACTCCCAGCCRCAGGTGCTGCTCTGCCTGCATGTATTTAAGTATTAAGTTCATACATGGAAAGGTTGAAAATAATCATGCAGAATTTTGAAGGTGCTTTTTCTTTTTTAAAAGCATATAATTCATTGACTTCTTTTTTTTTTAAGTGTATTCACAAGGTTGTACAATCATCACTACTGACTAATTTCAGAACATTTTTCATCACTCCCAAGAAAAATCTGAGTTCCCTCCCATTAATAGTCACTCTCCATTTCCTCTTCTCCCCAGCCCTTGGCAACCACTATCTCCTTTCTCTCTATGGATATCCCTGCTCTGGACATTTCATATAAATGCTGTATGTAGTCTTTTGAGACTGACTTCTTTCACTCAGTATAATGTTACAGCATGTATCAGTAGTTCATTCTTTTTTATGGATGAATAATGTTCAGTTAGAGGGGTATGACACATTTTGACTATCCATTCATTATATGATGGGCATTTGTTTTTTTTCAGTATTTTGGTTATGATGAAATAATACTACTATAATATGTTAAGTTTTTGTGTGAATGTGTGTTTCAGGTCTGGGATCTTTTGGGAAACTGAGCAGCATGAAGGCTCCTCTTCAAACCCTGATTCTTGCAAGCATGCTGGAAAGATTTCAGACATGTTACTTAGAGTAATAGGCATGAGTTTATTCAAAGAAATGGGAAAGGGGAAATGGGAACACTGTCTAGGGAGAGAGTGGATCTCTCAGAGAGGAGGGGGACAGTGTGCCTCTCCTGTTTTATTGGGGGTCCTTAGGGAAGTTTCCACAGAGTCCTTCCCAAGTCTGCCTCTTGACTTTTGACTGACAGCAGGATGACATTAGACTTTGAAGTACCCACTGGTATGACACCTCTGAGTCACTTTGGCTCATGCTGACTGGTTCTAATTGAAACCCGTTTTTACAGATTTTATGGTAAGGAGAATTACCCTTATCTCTCTGGGATTTGGTCTGTGTAAAGGTCACAGAAGTCCCCTCCTTCAGGGTAACTTATGTTCTTTTTACTGGCATTATTTCAGGCTTGCATTTCTTCTGCAAATAACAGAAAATGTTAATTAAGTTCCTTAGGAATGTAACATATCCTGTTGCCTTAAGCTAGGGCTGCTTTTCAAAAGTGAAAACATGTGGGGGTCAGCATGATGGGCCTACTTTAAAGAATTATTCCCTTAACCTCATGTTCCCACCACTAATGTCTGTCTGTTCCCTATCAGTCTTTGGTATATTCCTAGGAGTTGCACTGCCGAATCACATAGTAACTCTTAGGTTTAGGTTTAACTTTTGAGGAACTTCTCAAAGTCACTGTATCTTTATATTCCCATCAGAAATGTTTGAAGTTTACACTTTTTCCACATTCTTACCAATACTTATTTTTGTCTGTCTTTTTGATTATAGTTGTTTTTGTGGGCTTGAAGTGGTATGTCATTGTGGTTTTGATTTGCATTACCCTAATGACCTATGATGTTGAGCATATTTTCATTTGCTCTTTTGACATTTGTATATCTTTGAGAAAATGTTAATTAATTAAGATCCTTTGCCCTCTTATTATGTTAACTATTGGGATTGGGGTTTTTATTACAGAGATGTAAGAGTTCTTTCTATATACATACTATATATGTGTAAAAATATTATATACATATATATATATATATGTATATATGATGCTATTACCTAAGGAAGTTTGCAATTTCAGTGAGATCTTTTTACTTTTTTGTGGGGGGCAGTCCTAGGGATTGAACCTAGGGCCCTAGTACATGCTAGGCAAGCTGTTTATCACTGAGCTATATACCCCAGCTCTCCTTCATTTTCTTCTTCTTCTTTTTTTTTTTTTTTTTGTGGTGCTGGGGATTGAACCCAGAGCCTTGTGCATGCAAGGCAAGCACTCTACCAACTGAGCTATATCCCCAGCCTTTCTTCACTTTCTTGATAGTGTCTTAGCAATATGAAGTTTTTAGTTTTGAGAAATTCCAATTATTCTAATTTTTTTAGTAATGTTTTGAAGTTTTTAGTGTACAGTCTTGTACTTGTTTGCCAAGTGTTTTCCTAAGTATTTTGCTCTTTTTGATGCTGTTGTAAATTGGTTTCTCAGTTCTATTTTTGGATTGTTCATTGCTAGTGTATGGGAATATAACTGATTTTTGCATACCGATCTTGTATCCTGCATCCTTGCTGAACTTGTTTGCATTAGCTCTAATATTTTTTGTGGAATACTTAGGATTTTCTATATACATGTCATCTTTAAATAGAGATAATTTTACTTCATTTCTTTCCTATCAGGTTTTTCTTTTGTTGCCTAATTGGTGTAGCTGGAATCCCATCCCAATGTTGAACAGAATTGGTGACAAGAGACATTTTTGTGTTTTTCCTAATCCTGGGGGAGAGCTTTGAATCTTTGACCATTTAGTATGATGTTAGCTGTGGGTTCTTCATAGTTACCCTTTATCATGGAGGAAATTTGCCTTTAAGTTTATTGAGTGTTTTTATTATGAAAGGATGTTGGATTTTGTCAGTTCCTCTTTTTGCAAAGATTGAGATGATCATGTGGCTTTTTAAAAATTTTGTTAATTGATATATTTGGTTGATCTTTGTATGCTGAGCCAACATTGCATGTTAGAGATATGTATCCCTTTGATGATTTATGTTGTCTTTTGGGGGGATTTTTACATTCATATTAATAAGGTATGTTTGTAGTTTTTGTTTCTTGTGACTCATTTGGTTTTGGTGTCAGGGTAATATTGGCCTTATAGACTGAGTTAAAAAGTGTCCCCTCCTCTTCTATATTTTGGAAGGGTTTATAAAGAATCAGTGTTATCTCTTTCAATATTTGATATATTCCATGGTGAATCCTTCTGGGCATGAGAATGTCATTGTGAGAAGATTATTGATTACTAGTTGAATTTCTTTATTTGTTATATATTCAGACTTATAGATACTTGTAGATATAAATAATAGATTTGTTATCTACTATATTCAGATTTTTCTGTCTTCCTATGCCATTTATTACAATTTGTGTCTTTCTAGAAATCTGTCCATTTCATTATCTAATTTTTGCATACACTTGTTCATAGTATTCCTAATAGTTTTTTATTTTGTAAGGTAAGTAGTGGTGTCCTGATTGAAGTCAGGTTAAACCTATCTACCTACTTAAACACACTTAAAACATCATTTCTTTATGATGAAAACATTCAAAATCCTTTCTTCTAACTTTTTAAAAAAGATACATTATTGAAGTCATCTTTCATTTCTTTTTTGTACCAGAGATTGCACCCAGGGGCACTTAACCACTGAGCCACACCCTCAGCCCCTTTGTGTATTTTTTTTTTTTTTAGCATTCTGAAATTTAATGTTGAATGGCAAAAGTCAGACCAAAAAATAATATTTTATATAGATCCATTTGTATAAAGATCTTTTGTGTATTTTATTTAGAGAAGGGGTCTTGCTGAGTTGCTAAGTGCCTTGATAAATTGCTGAGGCTGGCTTTGAACTCATGATCCTCTTGCCTCAGCCTCTCAAATTGCTGTGATTACAGGCCTGCACCACCACACCCAGCTTCATCTTTCATTTCTGATTTTATTAATTCAAATCTTTTTTTCTTGGTCCATATAGCTAAAGATTTGTCAATTTTGTTAATAATTTTGAAGACCAGTTTTTAGTTTCATTAATTTTTCTGTGTTGCATTAATTTCCACTTCACCTTTGTTGTTTTCTTCCTTCTCCTTGCTTTGGTAATAGTTTGTTCTCATTTTTCTAATTTCTTAAGGTGGAAGTCTAGTTTATTCCTTTGAAACATTTTACAGTTATAAATTTTTCTCTCAACACTGCTTTCTCTGTCATAAATTTGTTTTGCTTTGTTTTTGGTACAGAAATTAAACCCAGGACCTTGCTTATGCTAAGCACTTACTCTACCACTGAGCCGTATAAGTTTTTCTACATATTGTTTTCATTTTCAGTTATTTTAGAGCATTTTCTAATTTCCCTTGTGGATTCTTCTTTGACCCACTAGTTATTCAGGAGTTTGTTGTTTACCACTTATTTGTGAATTTTCACCGTTTTCTTCTGTTATTGATTTCTAATTTTATTACTTTGTATGATTTCATTACTTTTACATTGATCAAGATTTTGTCAAATGGCCCAACATAAAAGTCTGTCTTGGAGACTGTTCCTTGTGTACCTGTGGAAAAAT